TCGGTCCTGGAGGGCCGGTGTCCTGCAGAGTTTAGCTCCGACCCTAATTAAACACACCTGAACCAGCTAATCAAGCTCTTATAGGCATACTAGAAACTTCCCAGCAGGTGTGTTGAGGCAAGTTGGAGCTAAACTCTGCAGGACACCGGCCCTCCAGGACCGAGTTTGGGCACCCCTGCTGTATTGCACTGGGTGAAAAAAAACATAGAAACTACACTAAAGTGTTAACAAGCAAATGTGAGATAAAAATGCATTTGCTGAAGCAACAGTGGCTTTTTAGCTTATTTCTTTATTTAAGCTTTAAGGCTCTTAAAGAGTTATTGTGATTCATGTTTAATGCAACTAGTAAGTGCAATGCTGTACCGGGTGCGCTACAGAGCAAGTTTACTACATTAGAAAAGCCATATAGATGGAACTGGTTATGCAATGCAAACTTCAAATTGTATTAGTTTACAAATCATGTGCTATGGTAAAAATGTTTTGAGGTCATAACATAGTATTGTGCAAGGAACTGCATGGAATTAAGTCATCATTAATTGACAATCTGCCGCTGTAATCATAATCTGCATGAAAAAGAAAAAAAAACTTGTCTGTGTTTTACTGCCACTATTGTTCATTTCAGCTGGAAACTGCAGTGAAATTTGTGTAGGCCTGTAGGTACGTTTTTGCAAACATGTAGGTAGAGGCACATTTTTGCAATTAGCCTGTCTTGACAGTCCCAATGAAAGCACACAATGTTGATTGAGTCTGTATTGCAATTTTGATAGGAGACATAGATACCTTCAAATTCAGGAAGCTAGTAGCTAACAATTTAATTAGCTTTAACTAGCTATAAACATATGGACACTAACTTGGACTATCTTGCTCAGCATGATTCTCTCCTTAATCTAAAAGAGCTACAACTGACCGTAGAAGAAAACAGTTAGCTCTCACTATGGTCAGCTTATGAATGCAATGCATGCTTTTGGTGCATTCAAATTTGTCTTTGGACGCATTTTGCAACAAATCAAGCTTGCATAGCTAGAAGCATTCATATATCAGGGTTTAGACTTCCTGTCATCAACACTGCTAAATGCAAAGGAGGAATTTTACTGATGCTGTAAACAACAGATCACTGAGACAGCCAATGAGAAACTTCAGCACTGGCTGAATACAGAAGCAACTTTATGGAATGTCGACCAAAAAAAAAAATCTGCATACAAATTTCAAGGCAGCCCGGAGTTCATCTCCACTCCTGAATTATCTATTATGGAAATAATAATGACTTCAAAATGAGTTTAGGCAGGTGGCAGCTGCCTCTATGGCACACATGTGACCTAAATAGGCTAGAGGCAGGGAAAGAGTTGAAGAGGCTATTTCATGGTGCTATATGAACTCTGTGTGATATCGAGAGACCATTTATGGCTATTGTTAAGCCATTTTAAGATGGTTGCACATTTAGGTGTGTGTGTGGGATATATATATATATATATATATATATATATATATATATATATATATATATATATATATATATATACACATATACACACACACACACACACACACACACAATTATTGACTGAACAGGTTTGAGCATCATATTATAAACCTGTGCAAAAGTGGCACTGCTGTCAAATGTGACGTTACAGACGTTGATGTGAGTCATCTGAAAGCGTGTTTAATAAAGCAACAATTAAAACCTGAATTATATTCCGTGTAATTATATCCGATCAAGCATTACAATTAATTGCAGTCTCATTATTGTGACCATGACAACAGGAAGTACTGTCTTGATATTTCTATGGCAACATAAAGGCACGGGGTGAAGCGAAAGCACTCTGAAAGGCCTCGACTCCATTAAAGCGATGAATCAGGGTTTGTTAAGCCAAATGGATGACGTTCTGGCTCCGCGGTAGCATCTGGCATGAGAGCCTGCAGGTGTCCTGGTCCATTTCTAAATGAAATAGCCATTGTTGATTGGCTGTCACTGTAAATCAGCCATCAGCTAGAGTTATTTTTGTCTATTCTCTTTTATTAATGTTATTTACTCTCCCAAACTAAAAAGGAAAGTGCTTCTCACAGGGGAGAGAGGAAAACAATGGATCTCTTGCCTCCGATAGACCAAGCAGAAGGGACTAAGAGGGGAAATCCTCCGGAAAACAAGTCGTCGTTGGACCCTCTGTATGACACGCAAGATGTTTGTTGGGTTTTTAATATAAGAAAGGCATGAGAAAAGCTGTATATGGTGCTGAATGTTCAGGAAGCTGTGAACAGGAAGAGGAAGTGAAGGCCGTGTGATGTGACTCGTCGCTCTCAACAGCTTCCAGGTTTTCTCACCTCAAGCAGCCGGTCTCCGGCCTTCAGACGGCCGTCCTGGATGGCGGCTCCACGCGGGAGAATGTTCTTCACATATATGGGGGCGGAAGCGCCAATCGGGACGTCTCTGGAGGTGATGCTGAAGCCCAAGCCCTCCGGACCTGCAACACCAAAATAACAAACAATACATGTGTACATGAACCACAGAGTCTGCCTACAGACCAGTCTGGGAGGATAATCTGACCTTTTTAGGTTGTAAAATGTCACTTTTTCATACTATGTTCTTATATTTATTTATTTATTATTATTATTTTCTATATTGCATTTTATTTAAACTTTTCTTGAAAAATAAAAACTTCCAAAAAGGCTTTCATTTTTATATTTTCAGTTTTCATTTTCACTTCATGTTGGTTTTAGTTTTAGTAGTTTTGTTATGTATATAATATTATGTTTTTTTTGTTTGTTTGTTTGTTTTTTTCACAAGATTTGGAATATCTTATGGTTGGAAAGATGTTTATTTTTTAGTTTGGTTTAGTAATTGTGTTATGTTTTTCTTTTTAAGAATTTTTTTAAAAGGTTTTTTGTTTTTAACTTTAGTTTTCAATTTCATTTTAGTTTAAGTTTTAGTAACTTTGTAATGTGATTTTGTCATTTTTATAAGTTAATTTAGATAATTTTAGCCATATAAAATCAACATCAATATAAAAAAATATATCTAATAACTAGGGATGCACGATATTATCGGACCAATATCGGAATCAGCCGATAATGGCTTTAAATGTAAATATCGGGATCAGCCTGATATGAAAAATTATGCTGATATGTCTTGCCGATAAGAGGAATATATTAACTCATATGTGCACAGGGTGTGCTAGCAATTAGATCACGTCAGCATTGTGGCTCATTCTTGAAGCAAAGTTTTGCCTGAATGGTGATTGGATTCACTGTTTTGGATCCCTGCATTTAAACTGAGAATGCACATACAGAATGACGCGTTCGGTGTGTGATAGAGTAAACAGTGATAGCACGTTCAGCGGCAGCCTAATGCCCGCTCAGTAAGGAGTTTTAATTCCATAGGGGGCGCTGTTGGCCTACTTCTAATAAGATGAAAGCAAAATACACCAAAAATTATTAGACTGTGTTTATGATTAAATAAAGCAGTAATTGATGCCATAAAATGAGTATGTTTTGATTTAAAGGTCAATTTAAGAAAAAAAAATCACAAACATGATATTTAAATTAAATAATTATATATA